AATCACGCAAATATGAAGGGGTTTTGTATTTAGAGCTTACATCAAGAGGTTTCTTATAATTTGCCCTCGGGTAAGTTCAAATATTACATTTACCCTCCTGTGGATTTATTAGATTTACCTCCTTTGGGTACATCTGGAAATTCATATCGAATAGTTCATGGAATCTTCAAGATTCCCTTAGTCATAACTTCTGAAGGGTATACTCGTTAGACGACGCAATAATTAAGGGGATATTTATAATCACATAAGTTATTTGGCCACAACTGATCAGGGGTCCCATAATTTACCCTATTTCAAATAACATACTCAACTCATTTGCGATTTACCTGTTGATCGGTCTTGAAAAGACATAAATACCTCATAAATTAAATACCCTTGGACGGCGTTGTTTGCAAAAATACAAAATTAAAAAAGGAAAAGGGGATCATCTTCATCTTCTTCCCGTCTCCACAACACGGCCACAAATCCCAAAGAAATAGGCCCGTCTGAAACAAACGAGGAATTGAAAAGGCGACGAAGCATGAGGTGGGGGCCGACGAAAGTGCCGTCCAAAAATGAAAGGAAAAAAATGGCAAATGACTCGCCCTTCATTTATGTTTCATTAATTACGTGTCATCGAAGTTTAATCTATGTGGAAGACATTGATATTAGAATTCTTGATTATGGAAACAACCTAATTCGTGGAATTATATTTGCAATCCGATTTTTCGTAAAAATATATTAAATACATAAAATATTCCTAAAACTTGTCGCGCACAATCTCTCATCGGCCTTTGCCTGACCTAGCTAGTAGAAATCATTTGCCCTTGATCAGTTCAATAGTTCACAAATTGGATAATAAAAACCAGTTGTAATTAATATACATACATGTCATGCAAATGTATAGATCATCGATCAATTAGTTACGCGTTTAAAGATGTCGTATTATATTGGATCGGACCTACATACATCGAACTAAATAATTGCATTCGGTCTTCTCAAGTCAAGTCCATATATCGATCATACGTATTTTAAAGATAAGAAAATCGACAATCTCGATTTTCTATGGAGCACAACAAAGTAAAGAAATATCTAATAACTAGTACTGCATGAAAAATAATCTGATCTAATTAATTTTTTTTTATTGTTCCTTTTTCTTCAAATCTGCATATCGGTTTCTCTCGAAATTATCTTGATCGTCGTCTCTCGGTTCTTTATCGAGCTTCTTCTGCATCAGGTTTGTTGATATTAATAAAGAACGACGGCACACGGCCTTTAACAAAAGTACGTCCCACTGATGCAAGTTTGTAAAACTTGACTACGTCTCCGGCTTTCAGTTTGCGTTTCTTACCGACGATAAACCAGCCTAGACAAAGGTAGTGGAATGCACCTCCGACGGGATTCGGTTGCTTTCCTAATATCATAGGATATTTCTGGTCGTGTTCATCGAACAAATCGATACCCATCGCAAAGGTGATTAAAGAGTCGAGTACGGGTCTCGAATATTCATCCATAAGCATGTCTGCCTGTAATTGAGTCAGGTTTAGCATCTTATCCACGTCAGCTGCAGTTAGCTCCACTGTAAACAGTTCCTCCTTCACTCCCTCACTGCAAATCATATTTTTTGATTTTTTTTTCAGAAAGAAAAAAAATAATTAAATTAAATTAAATTCTTGAACATATATATTAAACCGCCTACATGCTGCAATGTTCTTGAGAGAGAGAGAGAGAGAGAGAGAGAGAGAGAGAGAGAGAGAGAGAGAGAGAGAGAGAGAGAGAGAGAGAGAGAGAGAGAGAGAGAGAGAGAGAGAACCTGGAACATGGGATTCTTGGATTACTCCTGGGAACCTTGAATTGAGCATATACATAATAATCAGAGTCGTCTATCTTTCTGCGTTCGTCAATCTTTGCTTTGCCAGCTGTATCCTTCTTCCTCGACGAGCCTGGATTATGAGCACCACCTCGACCCTTTTCAGCCATTTTCTTGAAATTAATTAATTAATTAGTTGTTGATTTCTGGGAGAGTTGTGGTTATTTAATCTGATGGAGAAGAGACACAGTTGTAATTATGCTGATATATCGATGAGTGAGAAGAAATATCATATATATATATTTTGAATGTAACCGCTCGGAGTCTTCTCTTTTTGCGTTCTGTTCGTAACTATATATACACACACCCACCCACCAACTTTTTATTTTAATTTACCCCCCCTACACTAACGAAAAATACAAAACACCCCCTTTTCTTAATAGTCGACCGTTAGAAATTTAACAGTGCAGAGAAATTTACTATCCTACCCTTAATATGTTTTAGCCGATTTTACTTATTTACAGGCCGGGGTGCAACTGATTTGGCATCGGCAGATAAATGGGAAAAATACACTTTTCATCCCTCAAGTTTGCTCTTATTTCACATTTGGCCCCTTAAGTGTAGAAAAACACATTTGGTCCCTCATGTTCAAAAATTCAACACTTGCAATTTTAGCCATTTCTGTCAATTTTCGGTTATTACTAACGGAATCAAGCGTGTGCCCATCTCTGTGAGCTGTTAACGGTAAAATGACGAAAATGACCATAAGTGTTACATTATTGAAACATGACGGACCAAATGTGTTTTTCGTGAACATAAGAGACCGAATGTGAAATTGGTGCAAACTTGAGGGATGAAAAGTGTAATTTTCCCTGTTGCTAATGACCCCATCATTAATAAAAGGGTAAAATTCATTTTACACCCCTGTACTATGCAAAATGTATCATTTACCCCCTGATGTATTGAAAACATCAAACACCCCCTGGCGTTAGTTTTTTTCCTAATTCCGTTAGTCAAACCTTTTGACCGGCTGTTACTATGAGTTTTTTTTTTTTTTACGAATATACCCCAAAATTTTTCTATATATAGGTTGCTTATTTTGGCCATCATCCACCAGATTTTTTTCGCTATTTTCAACCCTTTGAAAACCCCTAAAATCGACAAAAAAATCACAATTTAAATGAACGCTAAAAATCGTTAACAATCCACAAAAATAAATTTTAAATAAGTTACGGATTATATCTGACATAAAACAGGGTAAAAGAGTCATTTCTCGCTCAAATTTAACACCGTTAAAAGTTCGACCATTGACCATCAAAAAAAGGGGGGCGTTTGATGTTTTATATACTTCAGGGGGTAAATGATACATTTCGCGTAGTACAGGGGTACAAAATGAATTTTACCCTTAATAAAATATATATATAAAAGGAAAAATTATAGTTTTCATCCATTAAGTTTGCATTGATCTCGTATTTGGTCCCTCATGTTCAAAAAATACATTTGATTCCTTATCTTTCAATAATTTAACACTTTTGGTTTTTTTGTCAATTTATCGTCAGTCCGTCAGTTAAGCCAGTGATGGGCGCACACTCTTGATTGTGTTAATTGTAACAAAAAACTGAAACATGAAAGACCAGATGTGAAATTAGTGCAAACTTTAGAGATGAAAACTGCATTTTTTCTAAATATAAAATGACAACTAAGCACCCCTCCCTCCCCCACTTCATCTTTCTCCTTGTTCAATCTTCACCCAATTTTATGATAAATCTACAGAATCTTTTTGAGTTTAGACGATTTTTGTATAATTAATTTAATTCTAACAGCTAGAAATCCTAATTTAAAATTTGAATTTCAACAACACATATTTCTAACAAGTTTAGATTTATCATGAGTGAAATTGTAGAATTATTTTTAAAAGCCGGAGCGTTGGATATAAAGATGATGATAAAATACTATTTTCGGTAATAATACATTCAATCATAGTAAATATTAAGAGAGGTGTTATATCCACCCTCAAAATATCTTATTTCACCACCAAATTTAATACATTTCCTATTTTATCCCTTTTTCTTTCAACTGTATTATGTACACATTTAAAACCGTCCACTGAACTAATTAAAATATTTATTTAAAAAAATAATCTCCCATTTTCATTGGAATACAAAATCTCACCCTCTCCGCCTTAAGCGAACAGTACATTCGTGAGATAAAATCATCTCCGATGGTAAAAAAGAGCAAGAAATCGCGTTCTTGAATAAATAAATTAAAAGTGCTTGTAAGGAAGGTCCTGAACTTTATGATTGTCTCGAAGGTCCTCAACTTCTCAAGAATTGGCGAGTTTGGCTTAATTTAATTTCGTTTCCTAAAAAAAATCCATAATATGCACGTCATTTTATATGGAAGTTTAAATATATTGTAATAATATTTCATTGCAAGAAAAAAAAAATAGACATAAATTAGAACACATGAGGATTAAGCGACTATAAGGAAGGGTAGTTGATTATAAACTCGATGGATATTTATGATAATTTATATATTTTTTGTTGTAAATTAAGATACTTTGGAGGTGGAAATAGCACCAATCAATATTAACTAATGATGAAAGTGGAATGAATCAAATTAAATTTAACGCTTTTGAATTTTTTTTTTTTATTAATGCATCATGTATTGAATAATAAAGGCAATTTCATTTTTATTGGAATTTTTTCTTTCCGTGGTGCAATATAATAGATTAAATTGCTATTTTCTTCAATTTCCAACCTATTTCGAGCGCAGGGTGTGAAAAAAATAAAAATCACACCGAATTATTTAAAAAATATATTTTCTTACAAAATAAAATAAATTAAACTTTTATCACTAAATTATTCGATTGATAGATTTTTTATTGTAATTGGTGAAAATATTAGGTAGAAATATTCAGAAGAAAATATAATTTACAGATAACTTGATAACGAAATAGTTGAAGGATTTTTTTTCCGTATAATATTATTTTGTGATGAAAAATATAATTTTTAGATATGTTGATAAAGATGTTTTTTTTCATTTTTACATTTTTATAGTTCAAAATGATTGATGAATAAAAAAAATTGAATATACATTTGGTATTCTAAAATATTATCACAAAAAAATATTAAATTATATTTATTAGCTTTAAAAATTCATTTGACGTGCATTAATTTATTTGTAATTTATTGTGTCTAGATGTACAAAATGCTATTAATTTATTCTGAGGGTGCAAAGTACAAAATAGTATATTTTTTGGGTGCGAAGTGGGATTAAGACATTCTTGAACCGAAGTTGTAGTAGTATAGTTGAAAATCTCCATAGCCGAAAGTTTGAAAACACGCCGAGGAAAATATGATGGCGAGAAATCTCTCTCCATCGAGGCTAAAGAAGCTTCTCACTCCATTTTCTCTCACCACCTATACATACACAAGACCTGTATCTAACTCCCTCTATTCACTGATCATCGAGCCTTCACCCACTTCCCCCTTTTCCCAAAACCCTACTAAAACCCCACCGTTCATCTTCTTCGCGAAACCCTTCTCTTCCCAAAATGTAAAGAACCGATCTCTTTCAAATTTACCACTGACCCGGGATGGAAATTACGAGGAAGCCACCGAGCAAGCCTTCCCAATTTGCCCCGGATGTGGTATCCATATGCAAGATTTTGACCCTAAACAACCTGGTTTTTCTGTCGAACCCTCGACCAAGGGGCCTAACTACAAGAAATTCAAGAACATGACACCCATCGTAGACGAGTCCGAAATATCAGAGTCCATCAAACTGGGGCTTGATAACGACATTTTGGATGTTGATAAACTCGAAAAGTTCGAAACAGCAGACCATGTGTTCGATAAAATGTCCGAGAGAACTGAAAAACAGGGGAAGGCTAGCCTGAAGCCAATTGTGTGCTCCAGGTGTCACAGTTTGAGGTACTACGGGAAGGTGAAGGACCCTAAGGTCGAAAACTTGTTGCCCGATTTCGACTTCGATCACACTGTTGGGAGAAGGTTGACTTCGATAGGTGGGGCCAGAACTGTGGTTTTGTTAGTTGTAGATGCCTCGGATTTCGACGGTTCGTTCCCTAGAAAGGTGGCGAATATGGTGACCAAGACGATCGACGAGAATGAACTGTCGTGGAAGGAAGGAAAATCGGGGAATATACCAAGAATATTATTGGTGGTGACCAAGATTGATCTTTTGCCCAGCAGCATTTCACCAACTAGGCTCGAGCATTGGGTTCGCGTACGGGCGAGGGTAGGTGGGGCTGGGAGGCTAAGTGGGGTCCACTTGGTTAGCTCTTTGAGAGATTGGGGGGTGAAGACTTTGGTTGATGACGTGGTTAAATTTGCAGGGCAAAGAGGGAATGTGTGGACCGTGGGTGCTCAAAATGCTGGAAAGAGCACACTGATTAACGCGATCGGGAAGTGTGTCGGAAATGCGGTGACTCATTTAACGGAGGCACCTGTTCCTGGTACCACATTGGGAATCGTGAGGATTGAAGGAATGTTTAATGGGAAAGTGAAGTTGTTGGATACTCCGGGGCTTCTGCATCCTCACCAGATTTCGACGAGGTTGACTGCGGAGGAACAGAAGCTCGTTCGTATTGAGAAGGAGTTGAAGCCGAGGACGTATAGAATCAAGGTTAGTCTTTCTTCTGGGCGAGAGGTTCCCGTTGATTTTAATGCTCTCTTAATTGATGTAAATTTGCCGATTTTTTTATAAGGGTGCGTTCTTTTTTTATTTTTTAATGCTCTAATTGATTCTGGAATCGTACATTGGAGCATAATATTTTTTAGTATTGCTGTTTGCGCTATTATGTATCTGAAATTTGTGGTCTTTAATGAATTAAACCATAGCTGAAATTCTTGTTAGGTTGTAAAATTTCATTTATGTAATGTTAATGTACACACGTACACGAAAATTTGGAGTTCTTGTGTAGCACATAACTAAGTGAAAGTTTGTTCTTTCACTCGAGGGGCTAGAAGCTTCGATTTCATTCATTATCTGGTTATATAATATATGTAGCTAGTCACACTTTGTAGTGTCTTTAAATGATCTTCGATTATGTATTATTGGCAGGTGGGGCATTCGGTTCATATTGGTGGACTCTTGAGATTGGATGTCGAAGAATCTTCGGTAGATTCTATCTATGTTACAGTATGGGCTTCCTCTCTGCTTCCGTTGCATATGGGAAAAACAGAGAACGCTTGCACAATGTTGGAAGAGCACTTCGGTCGTCAGTTGCAAGTATAACAATAATTCTATAGCCAGAAATATATATATATATATATATATATATATATATATATATATATATATATATATATATATATATATATATATATAT